AAAAAAAAAAAAGAAAAAGAAGAGAAAGGAGAGAGAGAGAGAGAGAGAGAGAGAGAGAGAGAGAGAGAGAGAGAGAGAGAGAAAGAGAAACTTGAATCTTGAATCTAACCAAGCCTTTGGATCTGATTTCTATTAACTTTTTTACATTTATTTATTTGTTTGTTTGTTTGTTTATTTATTTATTGTGTGTGTGTGTGTGTGTAGGTCAGGGGAGTTGGTTCTCTCCTTCCGCTATGTGGGTCTCAGGGATTGAACTCAGGTCTTCAGCCTTGGCAGCAAGCACTTCCAACTGCTGAACAATCTCACTGGCCCTGACTTTCAATTTTGACAGTTTATAGGAAATGTCAGCACTTAGAGAACAAATTATGTAATACCACAAAAAGCAAGAAAAATCTAGACGTCTTACAAAGGCTTTAGAAAACATGAGAAAAGAAAAAATGGGAAAAAGAAAAAAGGGGGGCTATACTAAAAGAGAAGATATTTAAGAGCTATGTAACAACCAAAATAAATATATGGGTCTTATTTGTCTCAAAAACTATATATATATTTCTGAGTCAAATATGAATATGAGCTGAGAATGGGATGATTCCAAGGAGTTACTACCAATTTGTTAGAGAGAAAACAGTATTATAGAAAAAGTTGTGAGTCACAATACTCAGGGGTGAGACTTTATGATGTCTGTAATTTACTTTAAAGGACCTCATCCCAAGCCAGAAGAAGGAAATCCAAGAAAGACTGATAAATGTGCACTCTGTGGCCAGTATCTAGGTGGTCAGGGAGGGGAGAAGCCAGTTGTGAGGAAGGAAATAAAAGAAGCAGGGGAGGGAGGTTGTGTGGGGCAGGGATTCAGGTGGGGAAAAGTGCCTAAATGTCCATGAACGGGAGGACTGTGAGACGTTCATAAAACAGCAAAAACTGAGTGTACACAGCAACACTCAAAAACATTGCATTGACCAAAGAGAACATGTGATCTGATTCCATTTCTATGAATTCAGTAATAGGCAAAGCTAATCTATGGTGTTAGAAATGACGGTGGTGGTTATCTTGGGTATCGACTAAAAGGGGCTGAGGCAGAACTTCCTGGCTTGATGGAAATGTTCTACATCTTTAAAAACAATCTTATTGGGGCTGGAGAGATGGCTCAGCAGTTAAGAGCACAGACTGCTCTTGCAAAGGACCCGGGTTCGATTCCAAGCACCCACATGGTAGCTACGAACCATCCTTAACTCCACTTCCAGGGGAATCTGAAGCCCTCTTCTGACTTCTGAGGCATTGCATGACACGGGTGCACTCACATACATGCAGGCAATACACTCATTCACATAAAATAAAAAATAAAAAATTATTAATTGATTAAAAAAATTTAAAATATTTTATTTATTATTATTAGTATTATTATTATTATTATTTTGATCTTTTTGAAGCAGGGTCTCCCTGAAGCTCCATCTGGCCTGGAACTCACTATGTAGACCAGGCTGGCCTTGAACTCACAGAGATCCACCTGCTTCCGCCTCCCAAGTGCTGGGATTAAAGGTGTGCACCATCATGCCTGGCTTTATTTCTACTATTTTTATTTTATGTGTATGACTCTATTGCCTGCATGTGTGTAAGTGCACCTGTGTTGAGGTCAGAAGAGGGTGTTGGATACCCTGGAACTGGAGTTATAGCCAGTTGTTAGCTGCCATGTGGGTGCTGGGAATCGAATCCAGGTCCTCCGCAAGAGCAGCCAATGCTTTTAACCTCTGAGCCTTCTGTCCAGCACCTGATGATTGATTTTTATTGTATGTTTATGAGTGTTTTGCTTGCATGCATGTAAGTGCACCACATGCATACAATGCCCATGGAGGCCAGTAAAAGGTGTTGGATCCCTTGGAACTAGAGTTACTGAAAGTTGTTAGCTGTCATGTGGATACTGGGAATTGAATCTGGGTCCTCTGCAAGAGCAGCCAGTGCTCTTAACCACTGAGCCCTCTCTCCAGACCCACGCTCTACATCTTGATGGAAGTGTTGAGTTTGAGTGTATGTTTCATAAAACTTGTAGCACTGTGCGTTCACTTCAGTTAAAATTCATCTAGGGGGGTAAGGACATAGCTACTGAGCAGCAGTAAAGCTCGGGCTTAGCATGCACGAGGCTCCAAACTCAATCCTCAGCACCCAAACCAAACCAAAATAAACCCCAAAGCCAAACAAACAAAAATGCAAAAACAAACTACCTCAGGGAAGAGCGGTTCAGTGGCGCCGTGTGCTGGTCAGAGGGTTCTGGAAATAGGAGTCCAGCTCAGGATATACAGTAGATCATAAGATTGGCAACAGAGAGGGCAAGGGGAACACCCAGCATGGCAGGGGGGAGTTGGGGAGAATCAGATGTAAAAGCAGGCTGTGCTAGGCCTAGATAAAGGCATCTTACTCACGGAGCGGGGAACTGAGATCACACTTCCTTGGGTAGATGGGGATACATGGGAGGGATGCTTATATTCTTTGGAAAGAGGCCTTAAAACAAACTCAAAGGTTCCTTTCAGTTTCAAACTCTACAAATGAGGACAGTTATGAATAAAGTTCTTTATTTAAGGGCAACCGTGCACAAAGTCAGATCTACTATTTATCGATTCCCATCCCCTGTATTCATCTTCCTGGTATAGTGGTGGGATTTATATATGACTATATAATATTGCTTTGTAAATGTACACACTAGAGATACAATTATATTAGATAGCTGTTATAATGATTCGCTCATTTTTTTCCAACACTCACAATGACCTGCATGGCAGCCCTCAATACACTCTAAACCCATTTTAAAGACAGATGCACACTCAGAGACAAACAGCTCAAACTGGGGCAGCTAGGATTCCAGCCCAGATTGTCTCCAAAGCTGGCATTCTTTTCCCCATAATTCACTGCTTCTTTTCTTTGCTAAGCCTTGGGGGTTGGTTTTAGTATGTCAGGATCCTTGCAATAAATATCTATACCTGTGTCATCCAAAATTATGTTTTGAGCTAGGGCCGTAGCTCAGTGGCAGGGCACCTGCTCAACCTGTGGGAATCTGTGTTCCCTCCCCAGCACCTGAAACCATGAAAAGCTTCGATTCACTGACTACCACTGGCAAGATTAACCAAAGATGTGATGACTGTTCTCGCCTGGGGAGGGGGCAGTCGAGATCCCTTCCTGGCTTAGGTAATGCTGGTGAAGGCACCTGCTTCCTGCCATCTCAATGACAATGACCTTGTCTCTCTGTCCCTCATTCTACAGCTGCACCTTACCTCATCTTTGAAGAGGCGGGCTTGGTCCTCGCAGCCTGTCAGGGTCTGAACGAAGCCAAAGACCTTGAAAATCAAAGATGTATTGACCAGAGGACAGGGCTGGGGGGGTGGGATGCTAGGCTACATGGTCTTGTCAGCACTTAGAAGAAGATCCTCATGTCTTTCTATGGTGGCCGTGTGAGAGAAAGCCCTTTGCTCCTGAGGCCCAGGCCTTGGCTTTCCTGCTGGATTTCCAACTGGACTGAAAGGACAGCCCCTCCCTCTCTAATCGTCATGAGTGACCTACGGGACAGTGCTTTGGGCAGCCCCACTAGGCAGCTACAGGGACTGTGGGCAGGAGGGATAAACGTGGGGTCATTAAGAGTGGTAGCGGGCTACATCTGAACAGGCCCTTGCTGGAGCCCTCTGCTGGGGTGTGGTGAGAGGGAGACTTAACAGCAGGAAGAGGAAGAAGAAGCGGCTGAGGAAGGGCTCCTTACCTCCTCAATGGTCCACTTGGAGACTGTGGAAGCCGAGATCCCCGCCACTCCTGGAAGGAGCTTGCAGTGCTGTTCCCAGCACAGAGAGAGTGAACGGTCAGGGTGGGTTGACAAGGCAGACATGAAAAGGGACTGGTGCACCACATCAGGAGGGAGGGCTGGAAGGCAGAGGCAGAAGCTGGTGGGCTAGCATCAGGGAAAGCTTACAGCAGTGCCACACAGGGCACTGGCTGGACCAGTGTCCCTTCAGAGGACCTGCAGAGGCAAGTGGGTGACCTATATTACCGCGTCCTCCCAGGGTGATTGTTTCCACCGGCCAAGTAGATCACTGGTTCACAGACTCACCCACTGTTTGCCATGACTCTGGCACCCCAGGCCCTGCAAGGATGCTGTTTTGGAGAGACTGTGCCTGGCATGAGAGTGGTCCCTGACGTTAGAACAAGTTCAATCGTGACGTCAGCTCTGGGTATTCTTTCTAAAGTCCTTGAGGACCCTGGCCAAGCCTCTCTGAGTTAAGGTGGTTCTGGGCCTAGAGAGTAAGCTCTAATCAGCTACCAACTCTGGGCTACCTGTCACTTGCTTTCTCATCTTCTCAGGAAGCTCTGGTTCCATGGGTGGGGTGACTGATGCCACTCTGTTGTCTCCTCCTTCGCAGGCCTGGCACTCATCCCATGGACTTTACCCACTTCAGCTGTAAGCAACCTGATTCTGCCCCCTCCAGCAGCCTCAGCTGCCCCAGGCAGCTCAGCCACTGTGGGTCTGCTTTGCCTGGGCCCGTGGTTCAGGACGATGGCTCTTTCTTACTTGTTAAGTCTGGAAGCCAAATGCATCACTTCCATCCCATCTTCTCTACACCACCCCCTGCTTATCACAGAACATTCTCTCTCCCTCTCTCCCTCCCTGAGCCTCAGCTTCTCACTTTCCTCAGCTCCTCACCCCCACCCCCCAGGCCTTGGGAATTCTCTCACCAGCCCCACTGACACCCCCCTGAAGCACTTTTTGCTTCTGCTCCTCAGCCCATGCTCATGCACTGCCCACCCAAACAGCCCCCTAAATATCACCAAGGTGCTGTTCCTTGTGACCCCTGACCAGATAACCCACTGACTGTGACTGGGATTTCCCTGAGATCTACTAGTGCTCCCTCTGCTGGGCTTTGCTTTAGACTCTCATCCACTTAAACCCTTCCTCTTTGATGCCCTGGGCCTGGTTTTCTTCATATCCGGAGGGGACCTCAGGAAAAACACCAAGTTTTTTTTGGAGTGTCCCTCCTATCATTCTCCCCAGAACAAAGCCAGGGTCTTAAGAGCAGTCACAGCATCTTATGTAACCACCTAGCCACATGCCTAGAAGTTTCTTTCGAAGGGCTGACCCTTCTAGGATCTGAGCAATATGTACAGCCAAGTCCCAGGTGGCCCATGGAGTAGTCACCTGCACACCTGGAACCTACATTGAGGAGGTCTGTCATTGATATGTGAGACTTCTATAAGTCAGTGATAACCAGTGTCCCTTCTTGGTGAGGGGCTTGCTGGTGCAGCCCTCTACAGGTGAGAGACCTGGGATCTGTCCCTGAGGCGCCTCAGGGCCTTGGTGAGTCCTTTCTTCCCTCTTTGGGCCACAGGTACAGCCATTGGAAAGAATGACTTCTGGGTCAGTGAGGTGGCTCAGCGGGTAAAGGCACTTTGTGTACAAGCCTGACGATCTGAGTTTGAACTCTGGAACCTATGTAAAGGCTGGAAAGAGAACTGATTCTTCAATTGTCCTCTGACTTTTACATGTATGCTGTGCTATGGCACGTGTGGCCCTCACCCCCTTCACACACCTTTAAAAAAGTTTTGACTTCCCAAGAACACTTCAGTCAGTTGGGAGGCGCCCTCTGGTGGTCAGAATTTGGTCCTGCAATAGGAGGACCTCAACATGATGGGCAGAAGAGAGTCTGCTCCAGTCTGACCCTGAGAGAACCTTATACCAGGACCTTAGAGGCTGGCTGAGATGCTTGTCACTCAGGCCTGAGGCTTCAGGAAGTGCCTTATGTTTCTACCAAGAGGAAACAGTTTAGAGTAGCTGCAAGAGAGAGTCTTCCAGGCATAGCTATGCAGGGAGCTATACTGAATACTTCACCTGAACCACCTCAGTCTCCTATCACAGCAGTGAGAACTATCATTTTCAGCATCTGACTAATGAGGACACCAGGCTCAGGAGATCTATATACACAATGAGACACCAGGGCTGCTCATGTAAGGCAGACCAAGCAAGAAGTCAGTGGTTGGCATGCCAGGGAAAGAGGTCTGAGAAGACGCCAGTCTTATGGACACCCTGGCTTTCACCTCAGAAATAAACGCCTCCCAGTCTATGGCATTTTGTTATGGAAGTCCATGCAAATGAATTCAAGGGAACTGGGAAGTAAATTGACATTGGAGCTCAGTGCTTAATGTTTAAAGTCTTATGCTAGAAGTCACTTCCTCTGGGTGCGATGGTGCATGCCTTTAATCCCAGCACTCTGGAGGCAGACACAGGCAGATCTCTGTGAATTGAAGGCCAGCCTGATCTACATAGTTTCAGGCCTGCTAGGAGTGTGTGTGTGTGTGTGTGTGTGTGTGTGTGTGTGTGTGTGTGTAAACATATAGTGAGTTCCAGGCCAGCTGGGGCTACAGGGCCCCAGCTCAAAAAGACCAAAAAAGTAAAAAATAAAAAAAAGAAATCACTTCTGAGTTCAGTCCTCACAAAGTCAATGATTTTGAGCAAATTATTTTGTCTCTGAACCTCATTCCTCCTGAGTCAGATATGTTGCAGGATGCTGGTGAGTTAGAGAAGGCATGTGTAATGCATGCACTCCTTACAGTGCCTTGCTCAGTAAACAGCAGTGGTAACCATTGTTAATTCAGCCATTGGTTCTTGGGAGGCAGGTCTTAACCATGCTTTCAAGTGAGGAAACAGGCTCAAAGATGTTATTAAGTGACTTGTTCAAGGTCACACAACTGATAGCTATGGCGTCCTGAGGAAGCCTAGAATTACAGACCAGCAGAGTAGGGACACCATCCTGTCTCCTTGTGGAGAACCAGAGTCCCTGACAGACTTCTCATCTTTTCCAAAGACTCCTAGCAAGTCCATAGGACTGGAAGCCATGGCCACTTAAGGCCCCATCCTGTGTTCTTGCCACTACTTTGTACTCCCAAAGACTGCAAACAAAGAAGCAGTGTCCCTCTCAGCTTCTCCCACTCCAGTGGCCTGGTGTCCCGACCCACCAATCACAGAGTACTCCGTGTATCCACTTGATGGAGGACACGGAGCAGGGGACCTGCACTCACTTTGGAAATCTTCCTGTGGAATCTTGCGATACTTTGGAGGGCGTCCAATCCTGGAGAGAGAGGGACCAGGGCCGCAGCAGGGGATCAGTGGCTGGCCCAAGAGAACATGAGGCCCCTCACCCGTGAAGCCCGGGCCCTGACTCCCTGGCCTCCGCACCGGCCATGATGGCGAGGCTTCTTCCTTGGGGACAAGTTTGACAGATTCTTCTTCTTGGCTGAAGCTTCTGAATCAGACAGCTCTGCTTTCAGCCGGCTCTGGTTCCTCTCAGCCAGCGGGCAGCCAGAAAGGCAATGGTGTGCTGTAAACTTGCCTGTGACGTGACCAGAGCCGTCACAGCCAGGAGTGGGGCACTTCCTAAGGAGATGAAGGTGGATTCACTTGTCTTCACTGCACCTCCCCAACCCCGGCCCTGTTCAAGTCTTGGGAAACCCTGGTGGGTCTCACTCCACAGGTATAAACAGACTCTCCCTGAACAATGCTGGTGCTGGCCGCTGGGCAGGCAGCCTGCCTTTACTCACCGGTGGTGAAAGCTGTATTTGGAGGTCCTTGTGTGGGGCAGGCTCCTGTAGCTGAGAGGGGGGCAGCCCCCTGGGGAGACAGCACTGGGCTCTCTGGTCCCTGAGGGGTAGGAAGAGAAGTCAGCATTGAGTCCTGAGGACGAGGGAATGGGGCAGGGAAGGGACAGTTTCCATGCAGGAGGTCAGCACTAGGAATTAGTTTCCTGGAGACTGGGCCCCAAGCCTGGGCTGTGCCACCATTCCTGCCACTGGATATCAGCCTATCACTGGGGAGGAAAGTCTTGGCTCCTGCATAGTTTGCTGGGACCTGTGAACATGCCCTGGTTAAGCATAGCAAGCATTCTGGGGTAGGGAGCATAGGGTTTCCAGGCTCACCGAAGATACCAGAGCCCTGAGAAGTTGTCAAAGGTTGGCGGGAAGGGAAAGGACAGGGCGCTCTGGGGGTACACACGGAGAGGAGGCTCCAGGGGATGGCCTGTCTTGGAGCACCAGCCTGCAGGGTGGATGTCTGGGTGGTCAGCATCAATCCAGAAGTCATAGTTGTGACTCCAGCCATCAAAGTGGAGCTGAGGAGGAACGAATGGTCCTTGGAGGTCAGGGGTTATGCGCAGAGCCCATCTGAGCTGGTTCCTCTGGGCTCAGAGGCTTTCTCCATCCTTAGGGCAAGATGCAGGAGCCACCTCTCCAGTAACTCATCTGGGCCCAGATTTTCTAAAGGCTTCACTGGTTAAAGTACCATCATCTCTATTCAGTCCTTTGGTGAGACACGGATTTTCAGACCCATTTTATAGATGGTAAAATGAAGGCTTGAAGAGAAGTGACCCATCCAAGCCCACAAAAGTGAATCACAGATGAGGAGAGAATGAGATTCAGGATCTTTAGTTTTCTATCTCTTGTCATGCCGTTGACCTCTAAGCAGTCTACAGAATTCCTGTCCTACTGACCTGTCCACACCCCCAGCCCTAGGGTCCCGGAGCCACCTTTATCCGATGGTCCTCCACATCTTCCACGCTGGCTACTCGAATCAGGGCTGGGTTCCGGCGGTCCACAGCCTCCAGCTTCATGTTGACCAGGAAGCTGTGAGGGGGCCGCTGTGGAAAGACAATCATTTTCAGTCAAGGACCAGTTTGGGAGAGCTGAGTTTCCAAGAAGGGATTTAGAGAGTTATGCTTGGGAAGATGGTGTTTTGGCCAAGGGGGGCGGGGTAGAGCCTCCTTCTGGCTGACTGACTGCTCCACACCTTCCTGAGCTCAGCTGTGGGGAGAGGGAGGGTCAACTCACCACTTTGAAGGCCCAAGCAGGCACAGCTGAGGTTCCGGTTTCTTCTAGATATTTCTCCCAGCAGAAACTATCAGGGTCTGGGTAGTCTGAAGAAGATGAGTGAGAACACTGAGCCAGCCAGATGACTGAGGAAGCTCCCTGTCCCTAATCAGGATCAAGACCATGGAGCAGGAATACCAGCCCCCTCCTCCATGCAACCGGTCAGCTCCTTGCCTTGGGCTCCTGAGGCAAATGGGTCCTGGTATGAAGCAAGCACACAGGACCCTAAGAGCTCATGGGGCTGCTGGAACCGTGGATCCTGTCTCTGTGGCTCTGTTGCTCCTGCTTTTACCTATCGGAACCTCTGATATCCTCGGGTTGGGAAGGACACACTTCCTTTGCTTTGGACCTCTGCTTGCTTGCTGAGGTGGTCACCTATTTTCCCGTAAACCTTACTGGGGATGGAGTTCTCTAGTCTTAGGCCAGGAAGCTGAGGCTCCAGGCCCTATCTAGCCCCTATCCTGACTCTAAAGGGCCTGCTCATGAGGTGTAGGTAATATGTCAGGAGACAGGGAGGGAGGGATGAAGTAGGCCTTGGAAGGAAGCATACTCAGGCTGCAGTAACCTCACCTTGTGGGGGGGTGAGGGGCTTTCCATGTTTCCGGCACCAGCCCACTGGGTGGATGTAGGGGCTGCTGGGATCACACCTGAAACCCAAGAGTATATCATTGTCCCAGGAGAAATGGGGAGGGCTGGGCCTGCTGACTTCACGCCACATGGCATCAGGGTCTTCCTCAGCCTTCTTCTTGGGGAGAATGAGACAGGTGGACTACACAGGGTCAGAAAACTGCCACAGTAACTGGCAAATCTAGCACACCATAATATTTAATGGAGACCCGTGAGTCAAGGGGGTTTTCTCATCTTAACCACAGTACTTGCAGATTAAACAGGAAAGAATGAGCTATGTATCTCAGGGCCCAGCTCAAATCCACAGGGTAGCTCACTATCCCCCACCTGGAACAAGACCTGAATGTCAGGAGTGGACTGGGTGGGGCCCCACGGTGCCTGAGATCCTGGAAATGCCCCCTGTTCCTGCTATCCCCTGTCGGCAGGCCCCAGTACCAGTAGTCATAAGTATCATCCCAGTTGTCAAAGTGCACCAGGAAGCGGCTGTCCACCACATCAGTCACACTGGCCACGCAGACAAGGGATGGGTTCATGCGGTCCACTGCCTCCAGCTTCATGCCCACCTGGAAGCCCAGGGGTGGGGGACTCTAGGGGTAAGAAGAAGGCTGCCATGGCCAGGGCCAGGCTGGCTGGAGCTAGCCCAGAGTTCCCTGACAAACACAGGAGTGGGTTCTCTACAAGGACTATGTAGAGATGGGAGGGAGAAGCAAGGGAGAAAGAGTCCAGGAATGAGGGTCGCTCAGAGGCAGAATCAGAACCCAAGCTCTGAGCCACCGGAGAACTACTGACCCCCAAGTGCAATGATTGTCACAGGCCTTGTGGCAGGAGGCTATGTGTTTACTCCAAAGTTCTGAGAGACTAAAGACAAGTGTCCCCTACCTGGATGAGCCCAGCCGGGCTTGAGACAGTTGGGGTGGGAGTACAGTGGTGGGGAAGGACACTGAGAGTGGGGAGGGAACTAATATTAACCAAGTAGTTGCCTCTACCAGGCATAGGCTTCAAAAGATACCATCTCCTATATCTTTACATGACTTTGTAAGAGAAACACTGTTATTCTCCTTTCAGAAGTTACAGTCGAACCGAATGCCAGTCAATGATAGGGCCAGAATTTGAACTTAAAAAATCTACATTTCCTGTCACGACAGGAGGTGGGACACTATTAGACACCTGTAAACCTCAGGTATGGTCTCTGAGGGGAGTGGGGGGAGGTATTGTCCCTGTGAACAACATGGAATCCATGGCCTACAATATGGGAATCTGTGTGTGTGTGGTGGAGGTGGGCATGGGGGGCAGCGCTGTGGATCTAACTCAAGGCCTGCCGAGCAGGTACTCTACCATTAAGCTATACCTGTAACACAAACATATAAACACACACAAATAAACCTTTAAAAGAGGATAGAGACTGGGCATGGTGGCACACACTTTTAATCCTAGTACTTGGGAGGCAGAGGCAGGAAGATCTCTTCAAGTTTTGAGGCCAGCCTGGTCTATCTATATAATAAGTTCAAGGCCAGCCAGGGTTACATAGTGAGACCCTTGTTTTGTTTTTTGTTTTTCTTTTTTTAAAAAACCCTCAGTAGAGGGGCTAGAGAGATGGCTCAGTAGTTAAGAGCACTGTTCTTTCAGAGGACTTGGGTTCAGTTCCTAGCACCACACGGTGGCTAGCAAGCATTTCTAATTTCATTTTCAGGGGATCAGATGCCCTCTTGTGGCCTTAGCAGGTGTTGCACACAGGTGTGCACTTACATAAATGAAGGCAGAACATTAAAAAAAATAATAGAAAGGTTAGTTCTTGAATCCCTCTGACTTCTAAACTCCCTTGTGATCTCTTCCATATTCCCCTTCACCAAAGTGGGGTCATCTTCCATGAAGCCCTGCTCGGAGGTTCAACAGGTGGGGACTTCAGCTTCTGATGCTATGACCTAGAATATGCCTCTTTGGGGCTGGAAAGATGGCTCAGTGGTTAAGAGCATTGGCTGCTCTTGCAGATGACTTAGATTCAGTTCCCAGCACCCAATCATTTGTTACTCCGGTTCTAGGGGATTTGATTCCCTCTTCTGGCCTCCATGGGCATTGCATGCAAAGGTGCACTTACATATATGCAGGTAAAACACTCATACACATAAAAAATAAAATAAGCCTCTTCCCTTTACACATTATCCAGCTTTGAATCATTTTTTGTAGCAACAGAAAATGAATGAGGGTTGGTGAGATGACTCAGAGGGTAAAGGAGTCTGCGACCAAACCTGATGGATCTGAGTTTGATCCCTGGGACCCATGCATGCATTGTGGCATGAGCACCCTCTTCCCCCCAAATAAACAAATAAATAAACAAATAAATAAAATATAATAAATAGAAAATGGATGAAGACAGGATGAAAAGAGGCAACTGGGGGAAACCTACAAGCAGCAACCTCCCTTTAGGGCTTGGCCCTGCCCAGTCATGCCTCTTGAACTAGGAGAAACCAGAACAGAGCTGAGCAATAGCAGATGATCTCCATCCTGCTGAGTCATATCCCCTGGGCTGGTTTCAGCAACTTTGGCCTGGGGATGATGTCCTCTGACTCAGGGACACTCACGTGGCTCTGGCTCACAAACAGGTTCTTGGGGGCCGCCTGGGCTCTTGTGCTGCACAGGTACTGGCTCCAGCTGAACTCCTCCTCCTTGTAACCTAGGCCCCTCGGGGGGGAGATGAACAGAGCGCTGTGCAGAGGCTGGGCCACGATGAGGTTCCCCCACAATGAAGCAGAATCAGGCAGGTCTGAGGTCCCCACAACCCTTGGGAACCCCCTGCCAAAGGAGGACAGATCTGGTGAACACTCAAAGAGTACAGTTTAGAAGCCTCAGGTCAAAGGTGTATCAGAATGGGATGGAGAGGCTAGCCAGAGATCAGTCAAAAAACTTGTGGGCTGCCAAGGAGGAATGGGGGACTGGTAGGGAGGAGGGGACGAGTCCGGGGACTCACACTGCCTCCCAGGTACCAACCTGGGGAGGTCTTACCTTTGGGGGGCTGCAATTTGTGTCCAGTCTTTTCAAACCAGCCAGCAGGGTGAATGTCAGGGGAATTGGCATTGATCCAGAAGTCGTGGCACTCAGAGTACCCATCAAAATGCAGGCGCAGGCGGTAACCACATACCTGGCCACAAAGAGAATCCCAGGGACACCACTGTCAGCAGATGCCACCCTCCCCATCCTTCACCTCTCCTGGCACTGCCTCAAGTCTCAGGGATCCAATGCCATCAGATTTGCTGAGTGCTGGGTACAAGATGGGTAGGCTCTATGGCCAGCCTTCTGCCCTCCTAAAGCCTGGACAGTATGTGGAAGGTGCTACAAGGTTCAAGACTGTCCCTGAGGAGTCTCCTACCACCTCCTCTCACATCACACCTTGCTATGGCCCCCCTCTATGTGGCATCTGTTCCACACCCCAGAGCCCATTTTACTACTTCTGCCTGGGGATTCCCACTCCATCACACCTTCTCCCAGGGCAAGGTGGTAGGCCTTCCTAGGCTCTTCCTGTCCCCTTAGGCCTAGTGAAGCTCTCCTTTCTCTGCTACCCCATCATGTCACTGCTGTGTTTACCTTACTGATTCTCTTCCTAGAAGGCAAGGGTCTTGTCTGATTCAAGCCAGTGCCTCAACCTTTGGGATCTCCCCTCAAGTCCCCTCCCTTCCCCAGCATGGGCAGTAACTCTAATGCTCACATCTACTTTTTATCCTGTGATTTTGGCTTTCTTTGTATTCCGGTGGATTCCCTGTAGGTCTGGGCTTTCTGGGGTGGGCAGTGCCTCCCTCCCAGCCCCCAGTGGTTCCATCACTGTACACTGAGACATCAGGAGGATATTCCCAAGATCTGCTTACCTCGGCCACGGTGAGGATGAAGTACATGGATGGGTGTTGAGGGTCAATGCCTTCCAGCTTCATGCCCAGTTTGAAGCCATTCTTGTGGGTGACTGCCTGGGACTGTCAATTACAGAGTGGAGAGGACCCAGCTTCCATCCAGCCTTTTCCTTGCCTGGTGAGCTTGGGGTGAAGGAGCTGCCTTTAGGCCCCACCCGCCTGCTGATCTCAAAGAGGTGACTTGTTGGGGATCTGTTCTGCAGGGGTCCCCAGAAGACCAGGGAACTACAGGGCTATTCTGAGGGGCTGGGTCAAAGTAGGCTTAAGGGCTTTCTCATCTAGCTTATGGCATCTCGAACTGGGTCAAAGATACCAGAATCCACAAGCCTGCAGGTGATGAGTGAGCCTGGGGACCACCTCCACACTTCTTCCCACTCTAGAATTTCCTTACAGTGTATTCTTCTATTCTGGATCTTTCCATCTTGCTAGTGCATCAAAGATTGTCAAACAGAAAACACCAGAAGGTGTGCGCTTGATGGTAAGTCCCTAAACTAGGAAGACAGGCTCTTTCTAGGTGAAAATACCCAACTCACGTCCTGGAAGAGGCTGACTGGGGCAGTGACGGCTTTCTGCTCCTCCAGGTAGGACTCCCAGGACCAGCTCTCCTTCTTCTCACCTGACACTGCAGAGATGAGATAGGCAGGCTGTCTCCCGAGGTACACAGAACCTTCCTGTTTCCCCTGACTGAACTCTATCTTAACTTCCACAGCAAACCTGTCTATAGCCACATGTACCTGACTCCACTCAGTAATGGTGGTGCCAGGCACAGGGGGCTCAGACTCCAGGTGAGGCCAGAAGATTCTGCCTGTCCTTCCTCCACCTCCAAGCTACTGTCAGCAGAAGCCCTTTGCGTTGTACAGGAACTAAACCCGCAAAGTCTCAGCCACCTTGTCCTTGGAAATATAACTGAGTGAGGATTAGTGATAAATCCTGAGCCAGAGGACTTAATCACAGTGCTACCTAAGCTTACAAAAGGAAGAAGAGGAAAACCAGGGGGGAAGAAGAACTGGAGGTGAGAACACAAAAATAAGAAACCCTTCTAAGCAGTCTTCTTCCTCTAAGGACTTACAGGTAGAGAGACACAACTGTGAGTGAGGTTGGTGTGTCCTGAGTGCATGGACTGTTTCTACAGTCCTCCCAGACACATACATGCTGAGTGCAAGTGCACACATGTGTATGTATAAATATGCACACATGTTCTCTCTCTCCTTTCTCTTTCTTCTTTCTCTCTCTCGCACAAGGCGCACCCAAGCATGCATAGTCCAGATCCTATTCATACCGCAGAGTCTTAAGAGTCCTGGGGAAGGGAATTCTCCTGCAGGTGGGTCCCTAGCCTCAGTACACAGGCTACAAAAACCAGTTACCTGTAAGGCAGGCTGACCAGGTTAGCTGAGCTGCCTTCCACTAAAGGCCACAGACTGTCAGAGACCACTGAACAATCCTTAAGAATCAGCTTGTATTCCTTGGGGAAGTAGCTCCAATTTTTTCTGGACGCTGCCTCAATTTTGTTATTCATAAAATGTAGGTAATTTTGTCTACCATGGAGGGTTGTCCATGAGGATTATCTAAGATGTGGTCTATAAAAGGTTCTTAAGAAAGACCAAATGCTGGACTCATGTCTTTCCTAGTCTTGCCCAAGTTGTCTGACCTGGAACCTAACTCTTCCTTGCCTTTGTTTACTAGGCCACTGCCCTGGGTCATTCAGGCGTGTTGTGGTTTGTCACTCAGTAAGAAGGTTTGTTGCCGAGTGGGATTTAAGTCTGTTCTGCAGCTGCATAAATTCCTTAGTCACTGCACTAAACCTTGAGATTACAATAACCTGGTCTAGCAAGTATTTTGTTCATTGACTGATCAGTCAGGCCACCAGACTCTCTGAAGCATACTCCCGAACTACAATCTCAAGCATACCTCTTCAAGGTATCCTCTTAGTACACACCCCCCCTCCTACATTCCTCCAGAACCCCCTAGTTCTCCAGTTAGCTTCAACCATACTGCCTGAGCAGGGGAAAGAAAGAAGAGAAAAGGAAAGAAAAGAAAGAAAGAAAGAAAGAAAGAAAGAAAGAAAGAAAGAAAGAAAGAAAGAAAGAAAGAAAGAAAGAAAAAGAAAAAAAAGAACAAGAGTTCAGGGTGCCAGGCTGAGCAGGATGGTGCTGTTTCTTGTCCCTGGGATGCCATACCACCCTGTCTTGATTCTTTTTGCTCCAGATCACCACCACAGTGACAAGGTCTTCACAATACCCAGCTCTTTCTCCCTAGATAACATTCTTTTCGCTTTACTCTTCCCAGACTATGGCACAAGCTCGGTTAGAGGCTGAGTATTTGCCCAAGTTCTCAGCACACACTCCTCTGTTGCATCTACGCATTTTGGTTCTGAGTTCATCTCCTTTTATCTATCCTCAAGCCGAGCTATACGGCTCCCATGCCACAGCAGACACCTCTCACCAGTGCCTTGTGGATCTGCCAGCTCTCATGCCACTGCTCCTCCCCTAGGGCACTTCCTTCTCTGCACCAGCACTGACTTGAGGCTCTCGCTATACAACATGTAACAGGTCTACAGTCTTCGCAGTCTCCTATCAAGCACCACTTTGTTTTACCTTGAGCACTTCTTTTTACCATCTAGTGAAACTACCTGTTTGCCCTGTCTGGTGCCAGAAGCTGGGAGTCTAGAGATGCCTTCATACACATCATCTCTTTAGGCCTCCCAATGCCTTGAGGTGACAGGAAGGGCTGGTAGTAAACTCTTTCACAGATGAGCACAGAGATGTAACATCATCCACTGGAAAGTGGTCTGGTCACCAGAGCTCTCTGTAATATCTGGATCCTTAACTGGACAAGCCCCTGTCTTCCTCAAGCTTCCTGCATCCTTTTCCACTGGTGAGTAATAGGCTAAACACGGAGTTGTTATATGAAAGAACAACTCCACTCCAGAACAACCCCACTGCTAGGTATATTCCTGTGGTGGCTTGAAAGAGAAATGCTCCCCATAGGCTCTTGCATTTTAAACACTTGGTCCTCAGTTGGTATCTTTGTTTGGGGAGGTTATGGAACTTTTAGGGCATGGAGCCTTGCTGAAGGAAGTTATGTCAACTGTAGGCAGCTTTGAGGGTTTATAGTCTTGCCCCACTTCCTGCTTGCTCTCTATGCTTCCTGTGTGTGGTTGAGATGTGACCATTCTGACTCTTGCCACTATGCCTTCCCTGACATTGAAGACATCTAACTCCCTGGAGCCATAAATCAAAACAAAACTGTTCCTTAAGTTGCTTTTGGTCATGGTATTTTATCATAGCAACAGACAAGTAACTAATACAATGCCCAAGAAAAATGAAAACATATGTCCGCACCAAAACATGTACACAGATGTTCATTTAAGTGAGCATTATTCAAATCAGTCCCAAAGTAGAGGAAGTAACCTATCTGTCCATCACCTGATGAATGAAGTGTAGCACATCTGTACAACAGGATGTTACCCAACAATAAAAGGGAATAAAATCCTCATGGATACTAAACATTGCTAGACCTTGAAAACATTGTGCTAAAGTGAATGAAGCCAGCCACAAAGGACTACACATACGATGCCATTTGAATGAAATGTCCCAAATAGATAAATCTATTACATAGAAAGTATATTGCTGGTTACTGGGGTATAGGGGGCTGATGGAGATGGTAGCTAGTGGGTATGGGGTTTCTTTTGGTGATAATGAAAATATTTTAAAATATACTATGGTAATAGTTACACAACTGTGAATATACTATAACACAGCTGTATATTTCAAATGGATGAACTGTAGGTTATATGAGTTATCTCAATAAAGCTGTTAAAATTCTGTACTTTATAAAATTTTTGGCATAAAGCGCTAACCATTAAAAATGATAAACTAGATTATCATCAAGCTGAAAACTTTGTTTTTCAAAAGATATCATTTAGGAAAGGCAAGACACAGACCAGTAGGAAATATTCATAAATATACCCCCGACAAAAAACTTATATTTAGAATATATAAATAAGTAATGTTCTGGGTATGGTGGAACAGCTGTGTAATCCCAGTACTCAGGAGACTGAGGCAGGAGGATCACCAATTCCAAGTCAACCTGAACTGCATAGAGATTCTATCGCAAAAATAAAGAAATTAATAAATAAAAATATAAACAGAGCCGGGCGTGGTGGCACATGCCTTTAATCCCAGCACTCAGGAGGCAGAGGCAGGTAGGTCTCTGTGAGTTCAAGGCCGACCTGGTCTACATAGTGAGTTCCAGTTCAAAATTATTGGTGTAGCTTTAAGCTCTGACAAAAAAAATTTATATATATATATATATATATAAAACAATTAGTGGTAAGAAGATAAATAACCCAATTATGTTCATCTAAAATAAGTGTAAGGGTCTGTGAGTGTAGCTCAGTGGTAAATCACAAGCCATGTGTGAGACCCCAGGTTTCATCCCTAGCACCAAAGATATAAAAATAAAGAAAGTAACTCTAAGGAACTAGAGTAGGAAACTGGATCTGAAAAGGCTGTCATAGCTTATCCTAGAGCACCACCATGCACTTGATGTGGAGCACCACCATGCACTTGATGTGGAGCACCACCATACACTTGATGTGGAGCACCACCATGCACTTGATGTGGAGCACCACCATGCACTTGATGTGGAGCACCACCATGCACTTGATGTGGAGCACCACCATGCACTTGATGTGGAGCACCACCATGCACTTGATGTGGAGCACCACCATGCACTTGATGTGGAGCACCACCATGCACTTGATGTGGAGCACCACCATGCACTTGATGTGGAGCACCACCATGCACTTGATGTGGAGCACCACCATGCACTTGATGTGGAGCACCACCATGCACTTGATGTGGAGCACCACCATGCACTTGATGTGGAGCACCACCATGCACTTGATGTGGAGCACCACCATGCACTTGATGTGGAGCACCACCATGCACTTGATGTGGAGCACCACCATGCACTTGATGTGGAGCATCACCATGCACTTGATGTGGATATGGTGGAATGAGAGATGACACAGTCTTTCCTCAAATCCCTAAATGCTCAAGTATTCCTATTCCTGCAGCCATACCCAGAACTAGGAAAATAAGGTTCTCAAGTATCATCTTATTTAAAATGAATAAAGCAAGTAAGTAGGCAAGGTTGAGGGTGCTGAAGTGTGGAGCGGTAAGAGATGCATCTTCTGACCTAGAGTATCATTTCTCTTGGTTAAACTACCAAAGTTGAGACATACATAAAAGCATGAGCCATTCTTAAGACAGGCAAAACCATACTGATTACATAAAGGTTACTATCCTTTGCAATAATGTTAACAGTAGTAAATATGTCTTTTGGATGGTAGAATACATAGATTTTAGAAAATTATGATCTTAAGCTGAAATTTATTTCATATTTAATGCCCTTTTTCTGAAAACTTCATAAACGGTTGCAATCTCTGATCAAAATCTGAATGAAACGTAAGATGAATGATCCAAGATCACTTTTCCTTTCAGAAATCAATGCTGGAGTTCATTTCAACTTCTATGTGGGTCTCAGAGAGAAATTCAGAAGACAGCTGATTACATTGACACGTTAAAAGATGGGGCATTGTGGGGCTGGAGAGATGGCTCGGCAGTTAAGAATACTGGTTTTCTTGAGAAAACCCGGGTTTGAATCCCAGCACCCACATGGCAGCTAATAACTGTCTGTAACTCCAGTTCCAGGGGCTCTGACAGCCTCTTCTGACCTCCCGAAGCATTGCACGACACGGGTGCACCTACCTACATGCAGGCAACACACACATACACATAATATAAAAATAAATAAAAAAATTTAAAAAAGTTGGGGCATTGTTTCTCACCATATGTTTACATTTTTTGTTCAGAGTAGCATCTATCCATTCCATGCTTCTCAGAAGAGGACGAAGATGTACCAAAGATTGTTCCTTTGTTGTGAACATGTCATTTTTTTAATATTATGTTTCAAACCCTCACAGGATTCATTTACTAAAATTATATCAGAAACTCTCTTTTTTTACAATTAAAAAATTATTTATTATTTTTATTTTATGTGTATGTGTGTATTGCCTGCATGTAGGTAAGTGCACCTGTGTTGTGCAATGCCTGAGGACAGAAGAGGCCATCGGATCCCCTGGAACTGGAGTTACAGACAGTTGTTAGCTGCCATGTGGGTGCTGGGGTTCAAACCCGGGTCTTCTGCAAGAACAACCAATGTTCTTAACCGTGAGCCACCTCTCCAGCCCCCTTTATATCAGCAACTCTTAAAAATCATCAGCATAGCTATTAATGATTAAGTAAGTTGTGAAGAATTTTACAATGTTGTGTCAGAAAACAATTATCTATATAAAACGGCAGTTGAAAAGCTGAAGGAGCTATATGAGAGCGAAGGCTCAAGTGTGTACATGAGTCACACATGCCTAATGCTTAAATCACTGGAGTGTTCCATCAGCACTGCATGCGTCAGTCAGGTCTGCAGAACACAGATCCAAAGCTAGCCATCAAACTATTAAAGAATGGAGAGAAAACACAGGGTCCGCAACACACAGGAAACAGGAAATCCTGCTGCTTTCATCCCTGTTCCCCTCACCCCCAATTCTTCTCTCAGAAGAAACTCCCATGAGTGAAAATGTTTTGGTTATAACTATACATTTCTAGTTACTACTGGCTAGTGAGCTCCAGGGTTCTCCTATCTCTGCATCTCCAGTGCTGAGATTGTAGCACATGCTGCTAGGCCTAGTTTTCTACACGGGTCCTGGGGAGTCAACATCAGGCCCTCAGCTTGTGATGCAAATACTTTCCCAACTGAGCCTTCTCTCATTTCTCATCCTTCCTTCCTTCCTTCCTTCCTTCCTTCCTTCCTTCCTTCCTTTCTGTACAAAACACACAGCAGAAAAATACTCAGAAACCAGTATGACACTCATGTTCACAGTTGAGATGGTCAGTGGTATGAATCAAAGGTAACTTTGGGGCTGGTATAGTACTTGTTTGGCATACATAAATTTCTGGACACCATTCCCAGCACTGAAAAACAAGTAACAACCAAATGATAATGGGTTAGTAGGGCCCAGCTAAAAGAATGCTGATTTATAAAGTAATTTCTCTAAGTAAGATGAATAGTTGGGACAACAGTAGCAAGACATTATCTCTTTCTCTGTATAAACGCTATGTGGCCATAACCCAAAGAAAGCAAAGCCTTTGGCTTCTATTGGGACTGCTTGGGTGAGACAGCAGTGGAAATGTGATTTGGCTGGGATGTGCAGAAACTGGAAGAGATACTATAGAGTGTAGGGCCCTGGACTCAGTGGGTTTTTCCAGTTGGGGTTGATCCACTGAGGCAGGATAATGTCTAATGAGTTGAATTCACTTCTCTGATCTTTCTAGGATGGCAAAGATAAAGACTCATGAAACTGAACCATAGCTCATGAGGAACCACCAACAGACAAATCATCCATTCATCTCCTGAGCAAGAATTCACAGAGAATCTACTCAGTACAAGCTTTAGGCCAAGCATCCAAGATATAGTGATTAATAAACTCAGTCTTGTATTGGCAAGAGTGGGTAATGACCTGAGTTAAACCCCCAGGACACACATGGTGTAAGGAGAGAACAGATTCTCAAGTTGTCCTCTGACCTTGACATATGTACACACACACACACACACACACACACACAAAATGTAACAAAGATTAAATAAATAAATAATCCCATTCCCTGTGTTGATAGGTCTAAGTCTCAAGGGAGGAATAGACTTGAAACAAATTGCTAGAGGATTACAAATGTGATAAGTGCTACCATGATCAAGTTGTCAGCTGACACCTGGGAATACACAAATATTAACAGAGGAAGCCTGAGGGCTGAAGTCGACTACAAATGACCTCTTTCTTAGAATCAAAAGGGCAGAAGAGCAGTCCAAATAGGAGGGTTAGGCTAACGACCAAGTGTGGGCTTGCCCACATCACCAAAGGGAAGCAACACTGCGTGGCTGCTCAAGTCTTCAGGTTCTGAGCCCAGACTTTTCAGTGGAGAAGCAGGGGGGCTTCCTTGCAACTGAATAACATAAGAGACAAACGTGTAATATAACCCACAAGAATGCACATATACACATGCATAAATCAGAAATGGTCTCTCACTTTCTCTCTTTCACACATGCACTAACCTGTGCTCACATGTACAATATACCACTCCTCCATAGGTATATACACACTTTACATAATAAACACACACGTGACACCGTACCAGGCAGGCTGCCGTTCCACTCTTCACTCTCCGGGGTGCCAACGGCAGGTTGTCCTGTGGGATCTTTTCCTTCTTCTTGCTTCTGTAGAAGGAAAGTCTGATTCCAGCTTCCTGTCCTTATGGGTAAGGGTACAGGCCCAGCCTCCGATCCTGGCCCGTCTGGCTCTCTTGTCCTATGTTGTGCCCCAAATAGGCAGAATTTCCTCTAGGACATGAGCAGGAACTCAACTCTTGTGGTCAACCCATTATTGCTTGGGGGTACAGTCTCCTGTGGGTACACATACCTTCTTACTGTTTGACTATAATTCTCATTCCCAGGTGGGGAAACTGAGTGCATGAACACTTGCTCTGCGTTGATTTTACCTGCCCAGGAGAAACTTCATGCACCATGTCTTCCTGAGCTTGAGGCCTCCGCCCTGTTTTTTTCTGACCTCTCACTTAGGTACTAGATTCTAGTGACAGAGGTTTCCACCTCCCACACATCCACCTTGGGTGCCAGTTCATGTGTGTGTGCGTGTGTGTGTGTGTTGCAACTGTGATACCAGACCATTATGGGAACTCCAGAAAATCAGGAGAATGATTTATAGGCTAGGTGTGGTGGCACACGCCTGCTTTAGAAGGTAGAGGCAGAAAGATTAAGGGTTCAAAACCAGTCTTGTCTACACTGGGCTATATAGTAATTGATTCTTTTATTTCTCTCTCCAATCAAGTAAAAGACTCCATTCAAGATGGGACCCAGAGCATAAGTTGTCACAATGTGTGTCTTCTGCACCCAGCGCCATGTCTTGGTTTGACAAGAAGATAACAGAACAGAGGCAAAGGCCCTAGTCTCCAAGTCCCCTTCCCATCCCTTCCCTCCTACCATGACTTCAGGCTCAGACTCCTCCGATGGGCTCTGGTACTCCCTATGTTTCCTCTTCTTCATAGGTTTGAGCAGATCAGAGGCGATCGCGGTGCAGCCTGAGTTCTCCACTATTACCGACCTGAAGGAGGAAGGTACTCCCTATGTTTCCTCTTCTTCATAGGTTTGAGCAGATCAGAGGCGATGGTGCAGCCTGAGTTCTCCACTATTACCGACCTGAAGGAGGAGCAGACTTAGAGAAAAAGCCATCCTGTACCAGTCAGCCCCCCTCCTAAGCCCGAAACCAGAAAGGGGCTTGGGGACTAAAAACAGCATGAAAGGATGTAACCCCTCGCCCTTACCGCTCCTGGAACAGCTGAGGGCAGCGGGTAGCCGGGGAACCAAGATCTGGACCAGTGCCTTGTCGAGGCCCACAGGCCTGGCACCGGCAGGCAGTATCGTCCCCTGGCCGGTCCTGGGAGGGCACTGCTGGGGGTTCCTGGGGGATGTCTTCTGTGGGAGCCAGCTAGGCCTCAGGCATCCACCCCTGACATCATCCACACTCAGGCTCCGCCCACATCCCTTACAGCTCATCTCCTACTGGACAGCATCCCTCAGCCTTCTCCACTGAGGACCGCTCGCAGCCACATCCATCCCTATCCCAGGTTCCAAAGGGAGCTCACCCACCCACCCACGCAGTACCCAGGGAAGCAGGCTCCTACCCGGGTGCTGGGTGCCCACATCGCCTCTGGCCCGACCACCTTCATGTCTGACCAGGCCTTCCTGCCTCCGCTCGGGGCTTGGTGGTCGCTCGACTCCCACCATGTTCAGAGGCGCATACTCGCTTATCCGGAACTGGGATGCGGAAAAGCCTGAGGACTGTGACATCGGTGCCAGTTCTTCACCCACCTAGGGGTTACCCACACTTTACTATGCCAACTCACACTCCAGCAGGTCTGAAGGCTCCGCCCATGCCTTAGAACTCCTCCCTCCAATCCACGCCCCCAGCACCTGAAGATCCAGTTCCAGAATGCCTCACTCTAAGCCACGCCCCTAGAATCTTCAGCAGAAATCCTGTGGTCCAAACCAGCCTCCCTCAGCCCAGTCTGCCTCAGGCCCCGCCTTCAGGCCCATAGGCCACGCCCCATAGCTGTCACTCTTCCTCAAGGGCACTGACCCGTAGGCCACTCCCAGATGGTGGCGCTGCTGACACCTGTGTCCACTCTAGAAGCCGCACTGTGTTGGTGCTATTGGTCCCCAGTCCAGCTGTAAGCTGCGGCAGAACAGTGGCTGGTTCGCTGCCAGCCACCCGCCCCAGGGCGCCCACATGGATTGGCTCCTGGGGGAAGGACACATCCAGGACACTGCTGGGCAGCCCGAGAGTGGCTGCGCTGGCTGCAAATGGATACACAGATAAGACAGAGCACAGGTGAGCCTGCTGACCCTGCCTCATTCCTGCCACAAATGTGTAGGGGTTGAAGGAAGGCTGATGAAGGAAGGATCCCCTGGATCCACACCTGCCTGAGCAAGTATGGGGCCCCTATATTCCTGACTCGACTTACTGGGAATGATAAAGGCAGTTGCGGGCAGGTGAGGACCCGAACCTGGGCTGTCTCTGGCCACCAGATGCACGCTGACCTCCCCAGTGGAAGTCCCCTTCAGTGTCCTTAGCATGTCCATTTCAGTGTGCCCCTCCATCCCGAGAGGCCTATAAGCCAAACACAGGCGCCAGGGTGACCAATATATACACAGGAAGGGAAGGGACTTATTGGAGGATGAGCTGGTCACCCTGTACACTAGCAATCTACAGGAAAGGCCTCATCCCTGAGAGGAGCAGGGTGTCTCAGGAGCCCAGCATCAGGTCTGGCCTTTGGCTCCATCCAGGTCACTGAAGGCACCCTGTATCTACCCCCATATCTGTGAGGATGGGCATAATGGCCTGTGTGACAGTACTGTGTACATAGTGTGTACAGAAGTGACTCTAGGAAGTATGACTCATGCCAGGGTTCTGGTTTAGCCAGTATCCTCAAGTCACAGCCCAAGCTAAGTCCAAATTCACCTCCTTTCTGATGCCCACTTCCAGACCCATTGGAAACATTTCCTTTATTTCTCTGGGAACTTGGAATCTTCAAACAGCATATTCTCCTTTATCCAGAAATAGCTGGTCTTCCTGAGAGGTGACATCTTTCCTGATCCCATTCTTTTATGCTCCCCTGTGTGCCACGCCTTCCAACCCGAAGCACAGAGAGTGGACATTGAAACGTCTGGTGAACAGATCCAGGCACCCGAATAGCAAATGTAGCATACAGAAAACCCCACTCAGCACATGGCGCAGTGGCTGGGGATATAGATCTTTGGCAGAGCACTGGCCTAGCATGCATGGGGGTTCAAGTCAGCAGAAGGAGAGAGAAAGCTTCATGTTGCAGAGACTGCTACTCAGCTGCTTCTTAGCAGTACTTGGCAATGACTTTTGACACACATGGCAAAGGAAAGAACATGGGGCTTGGTCTAAGACACAGGCATGGATTTGAACTCAGTGTCTTCACTTTCACTTTACCCCTGTGACTCCCTCCCAAAAAGTAGCTTTCCATTTCCAAGCTTCAGTTTCCTCAAGTATACAATGAAGGTGGTACAGACACCTCCCTTAAGGGTCTCTAATGATGGTTGGATGTGAAGGATTAATACCAGTAGGCCTTCAACAAATACCACTCTACTCCCTTTAGACAGAAATCCCAGGGATCTCAGGAGCTTCTGCCCAGAAACACCAACACTGCCTGCTTGCAAAGCCATCTTGTAATGGCTGCTGTCTCTCACACCCACCTTTCCTCCTTCTTGCTATTCTTGGGTATTCACTTATTTTCCAGCTTTTCCTCCCTAAAACACAGACTAGATTGCGGATGTCTATAACATTAGAGGCATAGAGTAGGTAGGCAAAGTCTAGATTTATGACCTGATTAATTAAATAAAATCAAAGGAGCTGTCCAATTTCTATTTTATTTTTATTATTTTATTTTTCGTTTTTTAGTTTTTGAGACAGGGTCTCCCTGTAGTCCCAGCTGGCCTGGAACTCACTGTGTATACCAGGTTGGCCTCCATCTCACAGAGATCCGCCTGCCTCCGCCTCCTGAGTGCTGCTCCTGAGTGTTTAGGATTAAAGGCGTGTGCCACCACTTGTCTTTTTTTTTCTAAGATTTCCGGAGGCTGGAGAGATAGTTCAGTGGTTAAGAGCATTGGCTGGTCTTGTAGAGGATCTGGGTTCAATTCCCAGCACCCACATGATGCTACCAACCATCTGTAACTCCAGTTCCAGGGGATGCCCTCTTCTGACCTCCAAGGACACTGCATGACATGGGTGCACTTACATACATTGAAGCAACATGCTTGTACACATTAAAAAAAAAATTTAAAAAGTTTTCATCCAGAACCTTTGAATTTCAATCCCAATTATTTTGCTTTGAAGAACTGAAGTACTTGTACCACTTTATATTATTTTAAATAGAATGAATCTTTGTGTTTAATATCCTGGTGACCGTGAAAAGGTAATATGGCCACTTCTTAAAGAATTCTGTTTCAGGTGGCAGGTGTCTTACAGAAGAGGCTGAGGCTGGCCTTTGTGATATGGCTTGCTGCCTGGTTTCAGCACAAGCTGGAGGACTAACAAAGTGTCAGTACCATTCTGTGCTCTGGGGACACAGCTGCCACAAGGACAAAAGGCTCTCTTGAAGAGTATATTCTAATTATTAATTTTTATTTTATGTGAACAAGAGTTTCACCTGCATGTAAGTGCATCATGTGCATGCAGTGGCCATGGAGGCCAGAAGGCAGCATTTGATCCTGTGGACCTGGAGTTACAAATGGTTGTTAGCAGCCATGCAGGTTTTGGGAACAGAACCCTGGTCCTCTGCAAGAGCAGCAAGTGCCCTTAACCACTGAGCCATCTATCCAGCCCCAAAGCTTATATTCTGGAGATAATGGATGAGTTTGGAACTGGAGATGTAAATTTGAAAGTCATAGATGGTATTTAAGACATAGAGAGGATGTAGAGAAAGGAGTGGAACCTTGGAGCACCGCAACACTTAGAAGCTGGGAAAGGGGAAGAGGATCTTTGGGGATTCTGAGATGGGCCTGCAGTGAGGTGGGAGGGGAGGCAGAAGAATTCTGAATTCTGGAAAATACTGAAGGAGGTTTTCAAACCTCAGTCTCACATCGTCCTGGAGGGAACTGGCAAGGGGAACTGTCCCATGCAATTGCTGTCTCCCTAAGCCAACCATGAAGATCAGTTGATAGAGGGATATAAAGGACCCCTGTCTTCATTTGGGACAACTCTGGAGGACCATCTCAGGTCTAGGACTTCCTGCTCCACAGGCTGAGGCCTCTGTTGAGACTACATCAACATTTCACATCTCTGCCATCTTCATGAAGTCACTCCCACAAACTTACACTGAATGTTTCCACAGAACCCTACTTGAAACGATCACTATAACCCTAACATGTAGCAGATGCTCAGTGAACAATTTTTGAACGTGTCCATGTTGCTATCTTGCTGTCTGCCAACCTTTCCACACACTACCTCCAGCTTCCTTGCCCTTTAAGACCTTGTATACAGCAGACACCCAATAAATGCTCTGGCTGTAGGTACTGGAGTGAGGGGAGCCAATGTTGGAGGTACACAGCAAACTTGGGGTCCCTTGACTTTCCTCCCCCCACAACTGGGGCCCTGATGCTGGACAGGTGGAAACCGTCCGTGCGGTTAGAGCATCCAGACCAGCCACCTGTCTCTCAGGACTAATGCAGACAGTGTTGGGCGGGGCGGTCGCGGATCATTCCTCTGCAGAAGGGCTACTTTTTTAAACGCCAAAATGGCGGAATTCTTTTGATTTTTTTTTCCCTTTACTTTATAGTCCAATTTTTTTTTTTAAATCCCATTTTCTGTTAAAAATATTGGAAAGCAATGACAGCAGAGAGAAAGTTTGCCGAATGGTCTGTGGAAACCCCAAAGGCCCCCCACACCCGGTCTCCATTAATGGAAAACTCTTGATTGTATGTCTCCAGGGCCGAGCCTCCGCCCTCCCCGAGCTCCGGATGCCGAGGGCACAGCCCGCCGGCTCCGCTCTCCCTGCAGCCGGGTAGCCGCTCAGCGCCGGGCACCGGGTCTGTGAGCCGCCTCCCCATCCAAAGCCCGCGGCAGGCGTTCGCCCGGAGCGAGGCGCGGGGACCGCGGGATGCCAGCAGTCGCCGCACGGGTCCAGGGCGTGGCGTCCCGGGGACGCCAAGGCGGATCCCACCGGCCGCCCGCTTACCTGCAAGGCCAGCTGTTGGCTGCCGGCGCCCGCCAGGCTGCGGTGGGAGCGAGAGCGGCGCGCCTGCGCGCACCGGGGGGCGGGCTCGTTCCCAGCCCGCAGGCCTGAGCCGCCAGGGCCGCGGGGTTTCACCCGCCTCCTGGCAGTGCTTGCCGAATTGCCCCTTCTCCCAGGACCGGTTAAGGCGAAGTGGGTCGAGATTTTTGAGTTCTGGCGACCTCAGAGCCGGGAGAGCGAGCCTCAGGGACCTCCATCTGGCTGGTGGGTACCAGGCAAGATTGCACCGCCACAAGCACCCAGTTCGAGTAGCTGTTCCCACCACGCCTGCCCCGCACTGGAGAGGAGGAGCTTCGAGCTTCGGAAAACTCCCCTAGGGAGAAGGACGTGTGCAACCGGAGGGCAGGAAGCCTCGGACCACACGGGGTCTGGTCGTGGGCTTGCCTGGCATGAAGGACCTCAGCTGCGTACTGCCCTGCCACTGGCCGGTGGTGTGACCTGGGAACATGAGCTCACCCTCCTGGTCTCCCATTTGAACACTGTCTTTTCAGTAGGATTCCGTGGTGTTTTGATCAAGTTCATCGTGATTAGTTTCCCTAACTCGTCTCTCCACCCGACCTCTCAACTTTTACTGGTTTTTGTAACACAATAGCTGTCCCTATTGGTGCTGCAGCTGTAACTTCACATAGACTTGGGAAGTCAGGAGACTCAGGCTTTCAAGGGAAGAGAATGCACGGTTTGGGTGTTCCCAGCACCTAGTACAGAGTGGGTACTACTAATTATCCTTTGACTAGTCAGTGTACCTCAAGTAGACGAAAGGCTGACTCCAGTGCCAGTTTCCTCTTACACACCCATTTTTAATTTTACTCTTATTTTTGCAGAAAAGAACAGCGGTCTGTTTGCCTTAGGCTGAAGCCACCAGCCACCTCAGGCTCCAGGTGAAACATGGTTCCCATCCAGTTGTGGGTAAGTTCTCCCAATTGCTGTGATCAACAGCTTAAATTTATGCAGATTTAAACTCTTCTGGTTGCCACACCAACGCATTACATGTGTTCTGCCCTGCTGCCATGTCAATTTTAATCATGTATTGAAGGAAGAGTGCATCAGGAAAGGATGATGGTTGCTGTAACAATGGGAGCCTCATTATGCACACCTGTACACACACAACCACCAATCCAAAAGGTTACTTTATGTATTAAGATTGAAGGCTGGAGAGCTGGCTCAGCAGGTGCAGGCACTTGCTGCCAAGACTGACAGGGACCCACATGGTGGAGGAAGAGAACAGATTCCCACAAGTTGTCCTCCATCACTGTTTTCTATGAAGACTGCATAAGATCCCAAAGGTTTAAGTACTAACATGGCTTCTCAATTACAAATTAATCTTTTAGATAGTGACTGAGACAGACTAGTGGAATCTGAGCAAGTGGGACCCAGAAACAGCTAATGTAGACTTCAGTTGCGGATTATTTTTCTGTCCATGGATGTATTTGTTGGTCTTAATACCTGGCTTGCCTGCTTCAACACCTTCAGGGATGGAAAGCCCCTTAAAAGTTGGTGTGATCTGGGTGAGGTTCTGCCTCTTATGGTTAGTTTACCCTGCTGGCCCTACCCTGCCTTTAGGAACTAGTGAGCCAAGTCCCACACTTCCTTCAAGTTCTACAAGCTGACAGCCCCCAGTACCTTCTCCATGTTAAACCCTCTTCCCAAGAGTGGACTCAAAATCTGTGGAACGCAGAGGCTATCGAGAAAACTCTTGCTGGTAAGCAGCCCATACTTTGTTCCTATGAATTTAAGTCACTGCTGTAGCCATCCCAGTTTGCCCTTTGTGAAAACAAAAAGCTTCCAGAGACATGTCGGACTGCAAGTCGGGAACCATTTCTATTATAAAGAACCTAAAAGATCCTGCATTAAAATATTGCAAGCAAGCACACAAGGATGGAAAGGAAATTCACCCCTGAACTTTTAAGAGGAAATCCTGAGGAGCCCCATACAGGCAAACAGCAACTAGGTCCTGACATTTCTCTTGTTCTGGAGGTAGTTTTAGGGTAGAGCAGAGCCCAGCTGCTGGAGTCTTGGGTCTTATCACATACACAGTGATGAAAGATGGGACCTTGAGCCCATGTGGTATTTGGGACTTGAACTAAAACTCCCTGTATAAAAACTGGACACTTACTTCATAACAGGGACTTCCTTGAAATTATCTTTTGGCTTTCAAGCAGGAAGCAGCCACTGTCCTTACTTGATTTTGTTCCTCTGGTTTCACTTCTCCTCAGCTCATCTCCAGTTCCAGGAACTGTAAACCTTGCAGGTAGGTCATCTCACGACAGAACCCTAGAGCCACCATGCCCAGCCCACTATATATACTTCTTGCCCCACTTCTGCTCTTCCTCTGAATAGTCCTGAAGCTCCTGGCAGCATTCTTAAGGGCCTAGGATGGCCATACTAATAAACTCCTTGTCCTCCTATGTTCCCTCCCTCTGGCCACTACTCCCTTACCTAGCTTTGTGCATGCTAGGTAATAAATGTCCTACAAATGAGCTACATTCCCAATCCCCTCTTTTAAAGTAGTATTTTGAGACAGTCTCTCTAATGTAATCCTCCTGCCTCAACTTCCCAGGTACCTGGGATTACAAGTATGTGTAACCAAACAAAGTAACCACTAATAAGACTTTTAAGGTGGTGGGTAGCTAAATCTGGCTTTTTGGGAGCAAGAGCCAGGCCTCTGGCGACCACCTCACGAGACTATATAATAAAGAGTTCTAGGAAAAAAGTACACCAACCCTGTTGTTCGGGGTGGGAGAGTTCAGAAAGCAAGCTGTTTTCATTTGGATATTCGAGGCCTACATGACAGCAGGAGGAAGTCAACAGTAGCAAATTAAATCTCTGACTTGGACTATGTGGCCTGGGATTCTATTGCTAATGCTGTGTGTACACATGGTGTTTGAGTGAAGCTGTGCACATGCCATGATGCTCATATGGTGGTCAGAAGAGAATTTCCAGAAGTTGGTTGTCTCCTTCCATCACAGGTTCCAGGGAATTCGGGTTCCCAGGCTTCTGTGGCAAGCGCTGTTACCTGCTGCGCTACTCCCTGGCCCTACCCTCTTGGGTACAGACACCCTGAAGATAAGAAGGCAGCAAAAACTAGTCCTGGGCAAGTGATTCATTTGTGGAACCAAATATATGACTGCTCAGAAGAGACAAAGCCACAATTTGGGTCAAATAGAAGGTTCACAGTAGAAAAACAGAAGACAATCACCGAAACTTGCCAATTGAATTAGGCAGACCTAGTTAAGCAGGAAGATTAGTATCACAATGACTTGAGATACTAATATTGTCAGAGACTATCCAATGTATGTTATGGGGCATAAAGGAACATTAATGAAGTCCCAGTGACTCAGGAGACTGAGGCAGATTCCCTTGAGGCCAGTTCAGGGCCAGCCTGGGCAACATAATCAGGCACAATCTAAAATGCCTATTATTGGGGCTGGAGAGATGGCTCGGCAGTTAAGAGTACTGACTGCTCTTGAAGAGCAGTTCAATTCCCAGCACCCACATGGTGGCTATGAACTGTCCTTAACTCCAGTTCCAGGGGCATCTGAAGCCCTCTTCTGACCTCCGCGGCACTGCACGACACAGGTGCACTCACAGACATGCTGGCAATACACATACACATTTAAAAAAAAGCCTTATTAGTAATAGGTTACCTTCAGGACATTTGGCTGGTAAGGTTTAGAGCAGAGAGGACTTCTCTACCATGCTGGCTCAAACTGGCCTGTCTGGGAATTTAGCTGTTCTCTCATGATTTCTTGGAAAATCAGCCAAATAGCTTAATTTTGGTTGGTGATAACTTTACCAGGAATTGCTCCAGTTTGGTCCATTATTAGTTACTTAGTCTGTGTATGTGGGTGTGTGTGTGTGTGTGGAGGTCAGAGGACAATCTTCAGCAGACTCCCAGGGACTGAACTCAGGGCATCAGGCTTTTACCTGCAGAGCCATCTTGCTGGCCCCCATTTTGGTCTGTTCTTTTGGGACCCAGTATAGGAACTCAGTCCAAAATAATGGCCTCTTATAAACTTTATTACATCAGGAGATGATATCACCATGGAAAGCAAAGCCCAAGTGTTAGCACCTAGGCCCTCCCTCAGTGAAGACACAGCATGGCCTTGTTTGAACCCAAATTTGTACTGCTTGTCTTCCCTAACAGTGCAGGACATGAGAACAGAGCACCAGAGAAATGGTAGAGGGAGAGCCATGGCTCAGCGTCCTTAAAAAAAATGCACCACAGGGTTCCAGATACTCTGGACAGGTAAGCTAGCTGACCAGGCTCAAGTATTAGATACAGGACAAGATGACAGCAGAGGCTTAACTCCAGGCAGCTCAGAGTATCTTGGCTCCATTGCTAAAAGCCTTGTCCTCGCTACTTGGCCTGAGGTCCCAAGATGCTTAGACCTTATGTTTACCTTTCCAGGGGCAAGTGGCAAGCATTTGGCAAAAACCAGGTTCAAGAAAAATTCATTTTTCTTTGAACTTTACAGCAACTTTCATATTTTTGATTTCCACTTTGCTCAGGAAAGATTGTATGTAGTTAAGTATAAATCAGTAATATATACCTTAGGGGAAAGTGGTCTTGGACGCCTTCCCTCCTCCTGTGAATCTTGTTTGCACATGGACTAGCAGTTCAGTATGAACATGTGACCTGTTGTTACCTAGGCTTACTCTAGAGAAGGGACAGTCAGCCACATAAGGAGTTTAGAAGCTTTAGGACTGTCCTAAAAGCTAATTGTGAGACTGTTGGTTTGCTGATGTGGTAAACTCAGGTACAGGAACAAAAAAGGTTATCTCTAGCTCCCCCAAGGGGCATCGCACCCTCTCAAGTGTTAGGCAAGGAGGGTTCCACTGAACTATACCTGAAGTTTTGCTTTCTTTACATTTTGAGACAGGGTTTCATATGGTATTTCTTTTTGGTGCTGGATATAAAAAATCCAAGGGCTCATACATGTTAGCCAAGTGCTCTACTACTTAACTATATAGCCCCAGCCCTACAGTATTTTATAAGGGGAACTCAGAATCAGCGCAGTTACAGTGAACAGCAACTAATTTATGTGTCAAAATACAATTATAATGAATTTGGTTTCAAGATAAAATTGGCTTTGTATTTCCAGGATCAGGCAACATCTATTTTAGAAAAGTGAGTGTTCTGAGATTTTATTTATTTATTTTTGAAAGAGGGATGGAGGAACAGAGTGGAAAGATGGGTCATTTCAGAGTTCCTTTCCTTGTAAAGGCCAAAGTAACATTTCAGGCCAGCTAAAACCGAGTTTAGTGAAGATTGGCTAGTATGCCCTATTGATTTCTTGGTTGGTCACAGACACAACTGTTTCTGTATTGTGACTTGGAAATTTCAGCCTGAGTGACTCCAGCTTGGTCTGTTCTGTGGGGCCTAAGGGAACTTAGTCCAAACTAATGGTCCCATTTAAATTTTATGTAACATGAGGAAGAATCACTTGTTAAGACACATAAGGACTCCACCCAGTGTTTCCGGTTCAGTATATCTAGGTCTAGGGTGGGACCCGAGAAACTGCATTTCTAACAGGTCCCAGGGTTGTAGTTTAGGAAAACAACTATAAAAACCAACTGCCCTAAGTCTGTCCATCTACAGGAAATGCAGAGGACAATCCACTCAAACTCTAAGATTGCAATTGGCAAAAACAATATTGGGAAACTTCGGACAATGCCTAGCCTTTTCAATGAATATAGAGCAATGCAAACACAGGACTCTAGATTTCTCTTCTTTCAGAGCACTGGCCCTTAATTGATGGCTGTCAAAGCTTTCCTTAGCAGCTCTCCTCGCCATGACTGCCCCCTTCTAAAAAGACAAAACCCAAACATGCAACTCCTTTACAAACTTCTGGCAAGTTATCTTAGGATTATTACCAATGGACATCCGGGTAAATAGCAGGTGAGTCTGAGGAGGCCGAGTTATTTCCCTACAAAGTAG